GGGGGGGGGGGGGGGGGGGGCCACCACATTAATTACTTTAGGTAAGTTTCGGGTACAGGTTGTCTGGGTGAAGTCCTGCTTGAGGGTTTCTTGTGGTCTCCGAGGTGTCTTGGTAGCCTCGTGCCTTGAGGAATCTTGGCGCCCTTGGAGACCGCAAGACTTTAGGAGACAAGCCTAAGTGTTCAAGGCCAAGAGAACTCCAGGGGTTTAGGTGTTTAGGGTTCCCCAATACCCAACCTTTAAACCTTTTTAGGGCTCTGATAATTTAGCAAATTTAGTAGTAATCTGGCAGTTTAATGGGTTCTTATGATTTATAGTAGTAATCTGAAAGCTTAACCTTTGTATTTCCCTGGCTTATTGGGGAAGTAAGTTTGCCAGGTGAAGGGCCGGACGTCCGCGCTTCTTGGCCGCCGGGGCTTAGGGTTCCGGGCATGGCTTCCAAGTCTGCGCCCTTTACCCTGCCTATAGTCTCCATTGTAGTTCCTTTTTCTGGTTTAACCAATCTTATATTAAGGGTCCTAAAAGGTATCCCCAAAAAGGAACTACAATGGAGACTATAGGTGAGAATCGAATCCCTAAACCCTGGTCCCTAAAATCCACACCCTGACTAGAATCCCTAAACCCTAAACTCTCTAAACCGTAGAGTTATGTCAGTTCTGTATGAACCCAAATCCCTGAACCCTGAACCCGAAACGCATTGCAAGCCCAGGGCAGCTTCGACCCTCGAGATCGATTCGGTTGCCGCTGCCCCAAGTGCGAAGGGACGGTTTAGAGTTTAGGGTTTAGGGTTTAGGGGTAACTTTTTTGGATCCATACTATAAGAGACGACAATAGAAACCGCCGTAATGGTTTGTGATAGCTTGTAGTGATAGGACACCCGTTAGACCCCTGAGCCCCTAAACTCTACCCCTTGCTTAAGATGTGTAGCAGCCTGGGCAAGGAATCCATGGATTTCCAGAGGCCCCCCCCTCAGTGTGGATCGTAAAACCTTCGAGAACTTAGAGCCACAGGGTTATGAATCAAGTTGCTACCTGAATCCGGGGTCGCAGGTTCGGGGGCTTTTCGTCGGTCTGGCTTCTTCGGTTGGGTGGTTCGCGGTCACTTTTGAGGTGCGGGTTGCACATTTGGTTCATGTCTTGGGCCAAGTCGTTCTGACATGTGTTGGCATATTTCTTTTTGCATGACAATAGGCAACCAGGTCGCAACCGAACCGGATGCCGAGGTTTCGAACACCTGTTTGGACATGTACTTCGGGAGGGGCGAAGATAATCCGTCGGCCAGGGTTCGGCTCGAGCTGCCGTCATGTTGCAATCAAAGGGCGCATGACGCATTGAGAGGGCCCGTTCCACGAAGCTAGGGCTACATGTTCCATGATGCTCGAAATCACATTCAGCACACCTAGACGCAGATTTCTGACGTGAGCCATGCAGATCCGGACTGGGCACGCTTTACGAACTGCATGTGCAGCTCTGTTGCTTCTGGACATCTGTGAGGCAAGTTACTCTTGTCCAGAGTATAGCGAAATCCGGCAACCGTCAGTGTCCTCCAAGATGTTCAACATCTCCAGTTTTGGTGGTACATGGTACATGGTTGCTACGACTGAACCGACGATGCCTCCTTTTTGCACTTGCAGCCACAACGATGTGCAGATACATGAGCTCGAAGGATGGTATGCCTACACAAGCCATGCGACGTGTGAGGGAAAAATCCCCATTTCAGTGCCTGTGAAAGGGGAGTTGTCGAAAGACCCAAGCAGTCCGGGACTGTTGCATGAAAATTTTGGTTTGTTCAACCACACCATGAGCAGCCTTGATCCAAACATGATCTTCGAGGCGCAGTACAATGAGCGCGGTGAAATGGTGTTAGCCATGACCTACGCATGTCTGGGGAGGCTCCTGCCAGTTCCTCCAATCGGGGAGCCGAAGTTCTCTTTCAACGTGCCTTGCTCGTTGAGTAGGTATCCTTTCAACGTTTTCGTCATTTGGGCCAGCTTCATCCCGATTTTTTTGAACTTTATATAGCTCCGCTAGTAAAGCCGACACCTGAGGTGTTGTCTCGTCGCAGAAACTGGACTACCAGTGATCTCCGGGAGGTTGTCGCGAATGCTACCAAAGCCACACAAGGCTTGTTGGACGTGGCCAATGTCCGCTTTGCAGACCAACAGACATATGACTCCTGCGCATCAGACATCACTGTGTGAGCTGCTGTACAGTCCTCACGGCATTTCGTTTATTAAGCAATGGGCCTAAGCACACCTACGTCAGATATATTCGCCCCGAGTGGCTGCAGTGCGGCGAGCCAAGCACGGACCCTAAAACCCTAAATTATAAACGCTAAGCCCTAAAGGGCAAGCTTCAACCCCAAGCCCACACTCAGCCATAAACCTGAGGCTCCGCCAATCCAACACTGAGAGCTCCCCTGAGGCCCCCCCCCAACCCCAGACGAATAAGCCATGAACCCTTCCTGGACCCCAAAAGTATGTAGAATAATAGCCTTTTTATGGGTTTTGGGCTATTATTTTACTTACTTTTTTTTTTTTTTGGGGGGGGGGGGGGGGGGG